TATATATATATATATATATATGGTTATACATTAGCAATGAAAAAAAAAATATATGTCATGTAACTTTTACATACATTTTATTACAGATTTAACTTTTTAAACAGTTTGAACAAACACAGACTTGCTTTGCATAATAAAAACAACGTATTTAAAACATCAATAAAGTGATCCGCCATCTAAATAAACCAAACCTGTCACGTCTCGTTCGTGAAAAACAACGGAAGGAGGATGAAAATAGGACACCTAAAACTTATAATTAAGAACATAACTTAATAGTTAATTAACGTTTAGATAAATTGTACGTTTGCAGAACTTATTGTAGTTTCTTTGTTGTAGCTGTAATCTCTCCATCGCACACAGACATACCGTAGTTAGGGTTTGCCCTGCAGTTGAGGACATTCAACGGACTCCAATTTCACAAAGGGGAGAACTAACGGATGTTTCATCAGAGGAGGAAGTCCATTGTTACCATAATTGTTACAGAAATATCTGTGGTCAAGTTAAGTAATAATTAATGACAATCTTGACGGTTTGTTTACATGTTTGCTATTACAAATCCGGTACTGCACGCGGCGGCAGGGTGTGAAGACCTCCCTTAGCGCACGTTGACGTCATTCTTCGTTTGTATCTACAGAAAAATATTAGTTTAGCCAATCATAGTCTTGTAAAGGCATTTCGTTAGATAGAGAGCTGGACATCTGTTAGAAGTTATCGTCTGTTCATTTTCCCGTGTTAGTGACATTTCGCTGCACTCTAGCAGTTAATACTTTCAATAAATCCGACAACTTGTATGTAGCGAAGCTGCAAGTGTTGCCTTACTCTGATCAGGTCTCTATGATCAGGTAAATAATAAGGGTCAAGAAATCTTCATAAGGCGCGTGAATACGTCACTTATCGCTTGACTACCGAGTCGCGCACGACAACCACGTGTGGTTACTCTAAACCACACCCCTTGATTCTGATTGGATGTCTACAGCTGTCAGTCGTATAACGAGGTTGTTCGTTGCTTGCCCGAAGTTAATAAAGAGGGAGATCAATTTTCTGATTCCGACAAGTGGTTTGTCGACTCCATCATATATTGTTGCTAATTCAGTTCGAAAACCATTCAGTCTGTCGTCTGAACGGAAACTTATTCAAACACCACGAACCTGGATGGGTTTTCTTGGATAAAGCAGTCACTGAGAAACGAAACATTACATATTTAAGGTAGACACTCTGCTAGTTGGTTGCATTTGGACTTGCTGCACGTAGCTTGCCGTGTTTTCTCTGGACTTTACACAAACTAAAAACTACGGATAAATCATTTAATACACAAGTATTTCGGTGATTGTTTTTATATCGATTGAACATTGCACATATGGATTTGAAAGAGATTGAAGCTGACACTTAGTAGAAGAAACACGATACTGAGACACTGAAAAATACACAGTAAGTCAGTAGGCCTCGGCCTATATTTTAATTCCGTTTTATTTCGTCGAAGTCATTCGATAAATATTATCAAATATGAAGTTTATATTACTTGTAATTTAGGGTAATCCCGAATGGATCGACGCCTGCCCAGGCCGAGCAAGGCACGACTAATTAATGAAGAAGGAACTACATGATTTAATAATCGTTTTAGAATATTTCTCTTTCGAGTCTCAAGGTATAAATGACTAGAACTTTATGAAACATGTATCGATTCAGTCTAATGCAAACTCACTTTTATGACGCCTGAGAAATTAATTAAAAAATATGAAAACAAACTCAACTTTGATAGGTCTAGACCTAGGCCTATTAATTATTGCAGAACTTTGATTCACAATATTTAATATTTATGGGCCCAATTTTGGTATGATGGTCAGTTACACACAAACCTGTTATAGGAGTTCATAAGGGGTCAATATTATGCTCTCCAATCGCTTCCACTACTCTAAAATTGTAACTATGACAACAACTTAGTGTGTGCTAGTGGGATTTCCTTCGTTGTGGTATTCGTTAAGGCAAGGGGAAGGGGTTAGTAAACGGGTGAAGGCCCTTTAGACCACGCTCTAATGCTAATGGAATTTTAATAATTGCACGCGCGCTTAATTACCTGAACTAGATAGACTATAATGAATTCATAATATAAATAGTCGGTCCTATTTTCGTAGGCCATTATAATTTTAATTTCCTCCAGATCAGACAACGAAGGGACGTATTCCCTGCACATACTATGGGGCCCTAGTTCAGTGAACCAATAAAAGCATTACAATTTTACTCTGTCGGTTGTTATCTATCACCATAGAAATGTCTACTTATGTGAAGGTGGATTTGGAGCAAAGTTAGCCCTGTTGATTCCAGCTGAATTTCTGTAAAATAAAAAAAAATGGAAAATATGAGATGAAAATTACTGGGTTTTGGGAAGAGCATAATCAATATTTTGCAGGTTGCCATGCAATAAATTTGTACTCCGTGCTGGTAATCAATTTAATGTTTTTCTTGGTAAAACATAGGCCTATGGCCTGAGTCAGTAAAATTTGTATTGTTTTGATATGCGGTCATTGAAATTTATTATTTCATTTGATACTATAAATATCAACTTTTTTTAAAACAATTTTTAAATTAACTTTGAGGTTTCTTCCAGATTTTACCAAAGAAGGTAATCAGTCATTAGGCCTACCATCTGTTTAGCCAGAACATACGAAAATATGTCTACTGTAGAAATAGTAAGCTTAAAACGTCCGATTGGCAAGGCAATTGTCGGTCTGATTTTCAGTTAAAAACAATGACTTAAAATAAACAAATTAAGATATTCAAAAAATGTTTAGTTTTAAACAATATTTTCATACACCAACACATGCGTAAGAAACCATTGCAATTTACTATTGTAGTAAGGCCACTGATTTGTGTATACAGTTACGGTGAACCCCTCACCTGCGTCAAGTGAGCATCTTTAAATTGTGTTTGACAGCGACTATCACTTAATAAGTCAATGATTATTGACAAGTCAGCAGGATAAATCAATTTAAGAATCGATCGCTCAGATAAGAGCTGTGATGTCATCCGGACCAGTCCTACATGGGCTTATCTGTAACATTATTAAAATATGATGCTTTCGTTTGTTAAATTAGTTTATCGTTATTAATTGTTTTAGGCCTACCCTTTATTTCACTTTTTGCTAATAATTTTCTCTCTTAATTTTTAATAGTAGGAGAAAATTTTAATGTCATAAATGGTTGCTCTTGTCAACAGTTGCATCAGTTTCATTACAATTTATTTTGTGTCAAAACCAATATTTTTTATAAGCAAAATACTATTTTTATGTCCTTGATCCGGGGTTCTGTTATGGTTGCGTGTTGATCTATCTACGTTTCGCCACGGAGGTATAGAATATACCCCCATGGCTTCACAACAAAATATAAAGCTGCCACCTAATAATATTATCTTTCCTAGAGCCAAAAACGATAAAATTATATAAATGATTTGGTTTACCCAAGCTAGCCTTCATGTTACACAACATATTGCAAATTATTTAATTTCCAACCATGTGACAGCAGTAGTAGACTTGCACTGACCGTGAACTTTTTGTTCACATTGAGAATGAAATTAAAAGTATCAAGACAAATTTGAACGATAACTTTCATGTTCATTTAAGATACGAACGTCGAATGGAAATAGTTGTATGATTCTCGCGAAATTTGTCACAAAAATACAGATCTAGTAATCTCAGAATTGGCGCACTACCATGATAGTTATAGTAAACGTATCTTGGTTGAACTCGACCAAACTCAACAAACAACTAACGAAAGGTAGGCTTGTATGTATTTGTGCCAGCAACTTTAGGGCTTCAAACATGCTGGTACATAGTGCCGATGATGATCGATCTATTAACTCTCTTAGTTTATTTGTTTAGTTTTAGGATGCGTTGTGGTTAATATGATGTTTGTTTTAAGTCTACATTTTGTTTATATACCTACCCGCAACTTTTTTTTCATTTTTCACAAGCACATCAAACATTTCTTTGACATCGATGTGATGTGTGCTATGCTTACAGTCCTATTCAGACCTATCGGTATTATTAACAATATAATGTTGGATTTTAATGTTGGATGTGCTGATGGCGTTGGTAAACGATAGAAAGTGCTCAAATAAAGGAACAAAATGCTGTTATAATCGTATCAAGCGCATAATATGCGCACAAATATTTCTAATCGGTTTTCTGAAAAAGAAAAAAAGCTTTCGGTGTGGTTCAATCCAGCAACTTGCTATCATTTTGAATTGTAATAGGTGTATGTCTACTACTAGGGGCCTACTCATTCCTACCATGATTCCTACTACAGTATCCGTATTTTAATCATCATTATCATCATTATTAGCAGAGAGGAATGCAGGCCATGGCCATTCATACATTGACTTCCATTTCACATTTTACGCTTTGTTAGGCAGGTCCGTAGGCTTATGAGAATTTCTTCGAAAACCAACAGAAGACTGGTCCAAAGTTTTAAAATTTCTTGACATACACTTATTATTCAACTAGGCCTACGTGGTGAGCGCATCCCATTGTTGGCTTATTATTAAGCAGTTAGGCCTGCGTATGCATTCTATTCCATGGAGCATAGCCTATTTTTAATGGATCGCGTATTCAACTTTTAAGTGCATAGTACCAAGAGGAGTTAAAATGAGCTTATAATTATAGAATAATAATAACTTAATTATAAAATTTTTATCATCATTGTCGTCATCACCATCATTTTTACATCGTTGCCACCATCGCCACAAATCGTCGGCTTTGCAGGTCCGAAAAGGGCTTGTTTCTACAAAATAACGTTTTTATCACCAAACTGTAACATTATTATAACGTTCCTAGAACGTAATATTGTTAGCTGGGTAACGTGTAGGTCATTAATTTCGGATTTATGTGCTGTGCATTCCTTTTACCCTCTGAATAACTTTATATTTAATCATCATAAACATCTTACTTCCTTCTGTCTATTGACCTTATTTCTTTAATTCTTTTTAAAGTTATACTGACATATTTTCTTTTAATACAAAAACCAATTCATCTTTATTTAATATTTAAAGTTTCTATAGTGCGTTTTAATACCGTTGTTTAGGTCTGTATTACTGGTCTACCCACAATATTTAATAGTTTGCCAACAAATCATTGCCACTTAGGCCTACAAATGTACTCCAACCAGCTGTCACTACTTCTACATCAAGTTCAATTGGCCTAGATGTATTAGGCTACTTTATTCAGTGAATTAACTCATTTCGATGACTTCACTTGGTGGGTCATCGTTATTACAAGGTATTAGACAATTTCAGTAGCGTACCAGTTAGGCAGGTAGCATTGGATTTTCCAGGAACCCTCAGTAGCCGAAAGTAACTCTGTCTTTCAACTTAACACAAGTGATTCGGAAATGCCAATTTACTCACTGCATCCAGATCACAATAATACGCATTATCCATTTAAAATGGTCCTATTGGAAGCGCTCATCGGTCAGAGGACCTGTAGACCGTTGAATCTCAATGGTACTATTGCAAGTTTGATGTATAAATATTATACTTCCATACGTATAATTAAGTTGGCCTAGCAACTGTGTCTACGCGTTGAAACACATAATCGATAAACCAAACTTTTTTTTGTTTACAATTCAACACGCAAAAGTCAACAGCTTCATGAGGGTGAGCCATTATAATTATCACAGTATGGAAAATGCTGTAACGATCTCATGACTTATGCCTAAACTACCGTGTCAATTTGGAATTGGAAGATGCCACAAATTAAAACCTTGTGGTATCAACTTAAACCTGACCAAAAATATTATCACTGCGTTTTTATTACCTTTTAAAACATACAAAAGAGAAAAGTTGATGGATTTGTGAATGTTTATAGGCTTGTAGGCCTTACCTACACACCACATGACTAAAGTCACACACGAAGATTACCGATATACCTCATTGCAATCAAAGAATTTGGGGACCGTATTTATTCAGAATACTGTTTTTAACCATGCTAGAGATATTCACATGTTAACTTGTATAATTTTATTGACAATACACATTTAGCTCTTGAGGCCTACTTCACATAGATTATTGCGTGATTAAAGTTTAAGTAAAGCCCAATTCAAGCGATTTGGGGTCGTGTAAGATGAAGCCGCCTACACCACCGTAGTTTCCTTTAACAGGAACCGATTGGTTACGAAGATGACTTATCAAACACTGTGTTCTTTTTGTTTCCATAATGCCAAGTCATTCTTTGCATTGGACAGGTGTAACATGTGTCTGTCCGCTAAATAGGCCTCCAACATTGCCATTTATTGTTATTTTATCGACATAACATGCGGCATGTATATGTGCACAACACTTGGCTACAGTTTGCGGGCGATGGTCGTTATAGCTTCTTGATACCTTGTATTGATTTTTTATGTGAACAAGGAAGCATACGATTTTTAACATTTCACAAAACTCAAAACTCACTTAAACTACTTTGTTAAATGTTAAGAGACACAAATCTGCAATTTCCTTTTAAGAGACTCGATAGCGTAAAGCTGTTATATGTGCAAAACAACCTTATTCCTAAGTGTTGTGCTTTATGGGCCAAAGTGTAACGAGCTGAGCGAAAAGATGGGGGAAAGTACTACTGTTGGCTGGTTTCCTACATTCCATACCGTAGCATAGTGAACCTGTACTAGTCAGTTAATTGTTTAAATGTTAGAATTGGCTTCAATGTTTCCTTTGATATAAAAACAGGAAGCAGAAACGACAGATACAAGTGGCTGTAGACTAAAATCGTTAATCGTTAAGAAGAAAATCATAGAAGCGTATCCATTCAACGAATACATAATTTAATGGTAAAATTGTATTAGAATTAAGTAAAAGCAGAAAGGCAGACACAAACGTATTAAATAAATGCAGATGTCATAATCATTGTACATTGACCTGCGCCCTCATTGTTCATTAAACATTCTAACTGTCTCTTATACACATCTAGATGTGTATAAGAGACAGCAGTAGTAGACTTGCACTGACCGTGAACTTTTTGTTCACATCACTCTTGTTTGAATTCACACTTTATGCTCATGGTATTCAACCTTTTTAAGCTGGGGACCAGTTCCGATTTGTTAAGACCAGCGGCATAATTTGTGTACTTCCATTTTCGCGGTGAATTCAAAATAGGAGGGGCCAGGGAACAGCTTTCACAGATAAGGGAAAATACCACTTCAGCACCACCATGGTTGGGGTGGATGCAAGGAAATGTATGATTATGGCATCTGTAGATGGTCGGAAATGTCACTCTCAGACTGAGGTGAGCACTTTCAGACTCAAAAATAAGTTTTCAAAACAGTGATTTCAACAGAATACGGTAACATGCCCCGAGCCTGCTGGTGCCGCAAATGGTTAGACATCGCATCATATCAGTGTCTCACTTAATTCATTGTCCCTATTTGGACTCAGAAGTACCGGGATGGTGTCCGGCGGGGGATAGTTTTTACCATTGTTTAGTTAGGTTTGTAGTTAAGTTAAAAGTTGTGACAGCCCCGAAACCTTGACTCAGAAATACCGGGATGGTGTTCAGCGGGGGATAGTTTCTACCATTTTTATCTATTTAAGTAATTGTACAGTATTTGTCCTACCTTGTAACCCCGGCCCCGAAACCTTGACTCAGAAATACCGGGTTGGTGTCCGGCGGGGGATAGTTTTTACCATATTATAGTTAAGTTGTCCGGCGGGGAATAGTTTTCCACCAAAGTTTTTACTATTGTTTTTGTATTTTATTGTACTGTGATGGTTACTTTTTGTTGTTGTTATTGTAATATGTGTTCGCAGGACCATATTGTAAAACAGCGGTAAGATCTCGCCTGTATGTGTTATCCTGCCTAAACATGTTTTAAATAAAAATAAAAATAAAAAATAAATAAAAATATTAGTCTACCCCTCCCCGTGCCAGTACCATACGCCACCAGATACAGTGAACTACACTCAGAAAAAGCCAACTCTTGTAAACATTGCTAGAGTAGGGGTGCCTATGCATGGTGTTGCTCTAAACAGAAAAAACTTTTTATAAAAATCGGCCGGTAAATGATTTATTTTTAGCAATGTTTCGCGGGCCGGATCAAAATCTTTGGCAGACAGGATTTGGTCCGCGGACTGGGGGTTGAATATCGGGGCTTTATACTATATCTGGTTTTTTTCTACCCTCACTCACTCGCCACTGAGGAAGGACCCAGTGTTGACCGAAAGTTCTGGTTCTATTTCTGGCTGTTTACTTACGCTTACTTTTTAGCTGTTGCTTATTAAATTTGTCTCTACCGAGATCCAGTCATTGTTTGCCACAGCATTGTTGTTTTTTAGCATTTTGCTTTTTATTCTATATATATATATATATATATATATATATATATACTGTA